AAGGTATATGGGAAAATTATATATAACATACATATCAACATATTCCAATATACCAACTTAAAGTGCCAACATAAATTAACCATGGCAGGGGTATACCCGGGTACCCCTGCCCCACCAGATTCTGAGTCACCGACAGGACCCGGAACCTACCAACCACCAATGACCACAGTTTTACGTCTCCATGACGTTCATCCTAGGGAGCCTATTTCTTCTCCTTCAGCTCCCTATCCCGCCGCTGTGAAAAAACGGGATAACCCAAGTCCGAACCAAATTCAGGGAGGGTGGGCGGGACAAACTCAGCAAGGTAGTAATTAAAAGTGAAAGATTTAAAATGGCTGCCTATTTAAATAGCCAAGCCTACTTACCCATAACTCCATACTTCCTTCCCTCCTCCTATGCCCGCCTCCTAACCCCTGTCAAGGCCTTTTTCTGCTTAGCTGCGCTTTGGCTACATGGGGCTACATGACCGGTGTATAGTCGCCATATGGGCAGTCGGACTCCAGGACAACCCTCCCACATACCTAAACCAATAACTCACTGACACGAAGGTATATGGGAAAATTTGTCCACAGCTTTATTTAAAACAATCTTGAATAATAACAATTTATTAATTTCCATATTAATAACCATAGCAATAATAATTTAACAATAAACATGGGTCATTGCCCCCATACTCCGCCCTCGCATCCGAATCCTTCTTTTAATATAACAGGCAATGACCCCCATATAAATAACACATATATATATATATAAAACATACATATCAACATATTCCAACATACCAACTTAAAGTGCCAAACATAAATTAACCATGGCAGGGGTATACCCGGATACCCCTGCCCCACCAGATTCTGAGCCACCGACAGGACTCGGAACCTACCAACCACCTACCAACCGCGGAGGTAATCTCACTCGGGCCCGCTACCCCGGCCCCCTGAGCCCAGACCTGACCCACACCGCCCCAGTGAGTGGAGAAGCGCTTGAAGTGTATGGAGTGCAGAG